TATATCTAACTATTGATACTCTTTGACTCGAGCCAATCAAGCCGGATTGAGAGTTCAAATGTCACATCAAGGAAAAATACTTATATGTGTTCAACGTCAAATACACATGCATATATGTATCATGTATGCCTCTACCAATCTAAGCATTAGTCTCGATCTTTTTCTTTGGCAATAGAATTTATGTTTTCTATTTAGTGGTCACTCAATAAGAAGATCCCTCACGAAAGTCGGTCCCAAAGTCCAACTTGAGTTTTTGGTATTATAATATATATCATATATGTGTACATAAATATACCGTAATTCGACCGTTGACAAAATAAATTAAAAATAATGAAAAAAGTATAAATATATGTGGCAACGTGAAATGGCAACGAAAGATCGTTTGCTAACACTTAAACAAAGTCCAAAACACCGAACCACTATCCTTCATGTCATTGCTAGTCACATGCATCCCATCTCTCTTTTCCCTTTTATCACTATATTTTATTTACACTAATGTAACACTAAAGAGAAAAACAATATGTAGACTTATGTTTTCATATGATAATCATATTTTTGTTTTGTTTATAATTTAATATTATCTTGTTCATAGTTGTATCTTTCGTTGGAACTTACATCATATATAACAATTCAAAAAAATTTAAAACCTATTAATAAATTGATCGTTGTAACTTGTACGTAGCTTAAAGACACACTATATATCGTGATTTTATCTACTTTTAGTTGATATTCTTGTGAGCCATTTTTCCATTGGAAGTGAGTAGTTAATAAGAAAATTGAAGCAGCAAGCACATGGCCACATAGCCAGCTCTTCTTTACGGGTAATTCTTTGTTTGGTTGTAGCTACAACACAATTATACTATAATTATAAAAAATAGTTGAAAATACATATTGGCATCTGATACACTGTCACCAAAAATGCTAAAGAAAATGAGGAATTAATATCCAGCAAAGCTGCAAAAGATTAAATTTAGGAAATGCACATGATCCCATGAAGATTCTTGCATTAATTAATGCATAATGGCGCATTTAACAACGTTGATCTCTCTCATCATTTTATCGTCAACTTTGAAATATTGTGACATCCTCTAGGGTTTCAGATTCTGTCACATGCTTGCTTCTTCTTCCGTATAAATTCTTATAATTTTTAACCGTCCTATAAACTACGAATTTTTACTATCTTCTTTGTTCGACTCAATAACAAAATTTTAACTGTTATAAAATTATCAGATTGTTAATTATAAAATTAGACGCTAACTTGGAATCTTGAAAAATGGATTAAACAATTGTCGTAGTCAAATTTAAATACCGACTTAAAATGTATTAAAACATATGTGGATGAAGTCATTGTTGAAGTTGATTTTCATTGGACGCTCCTGGTTATATCGCTGTCAATTGTCATCTGAATTAGTTTAGACTTGTAACCTTGTACGTAACATGTCAGAGATATTTTGCTTCATTTTGATTCTCGATTATAAGAAAACGTTATGAACTCCTAAAATATATAACCACCAAAGATGATTGTACGAATAAGTGTCGTGTCGATATAATTACGCTTCTGAGCATAATTGATGGATTTGACCTCTGAATTGTGTCCACACACCATTCTTTCATTATAAAGTACTCTTGATTTACTACTTCAATAGAAACTTTGAAAAATGAAGATTAAAAGAGATATTTAAAACCGAAAATGTTTTATACTGACATATGGCTAGATAGTTCCCACTTCTCACATCTTCATAGTTCATGGTATGGACCTTTTTTTGTCGAAGTTCATGGTATGGATTTAATTACGATCGTTTAAACAACTTCTTATAAATTAATAAGTATATATTTATATATGTAATGTTTAAGTATTGAAACATAAGTGGACCTAGGTAGGATGCTACCGGGTCCTATGACGCCGATTAAACATTTTAATATTTTAATTATATGTAACGTATGTTACTATGTATATACTGAAAGAACTAATAGCATAAATGGTAAATACCGTAAATTTTGGCCTATTGATCCACCATAGCCATAAATTTTGGTAAATACCGTAAATTATACCGACGGATATTTAATCGTCAGTTTACACCGTGTTTTCTTGTAGTGATATATACTCACAAACTACTCAATACCAAATTTTTGAATAATAATAGTTACTTATGAATCTAGTGATAACAAATTTTGGGGTCTGTCACTGATGGAATCGTATTAACATATTCTACCCCCAAAAAAGGTAAATTAATCAGGCAACAAGCTTTGAACTACAAAATTTAAAAAATATAACTAGATAGCAAACTTAAGAAAAGTTTTACCCCATGTATGATTCTATGATATAGGATTTATATCATAGAGACATACATGCACACAAGGAAGTCCTTTCCTATTAGTACAATTTATAAGTATATTACGTGGAAGTGATGAGAGTGAACAAAGCATATAAGTGTAGTTGAAGCATCCAAGTTTACAAAGGGTCCATTAACCAAAAAAGCAAAGCAAACCAAACACGGTTAGCTAAAAAGAAAATTGTACTTTAGCAAAGAAGTGGGTGATTCTAGTGGGTCGCATGCACCAACTCGTTTCGTTTTACAATATATTTATTTTATATTCTTATAGTCATATTAGAGACTAGAGAGATCGTGTTGAACTAGAGCTATATAGTTATTTGCAAGTAATTTTTTTGTTAACATCGAGTATCTAGATATTTTCTTATGGGCAGCCAAGAACCTTTGGGTTTACACCAATAACTTCTTCAACATGCATGGGAGTTTGAACATGTTAATTAAACTATTTTCCTTAGCCAGTAATTGGACTCGGGATCTTCAAAACTCTTCTTTTGAGTGAAATATTCTCTAAAAATGGCATTCTTAATTGGGTCGTCTAATTATTATGGGTGAATTAGTAAATAACATGTGTTCAAACTTTGTTGATTTTTCAATTCTAATGAAAATTAAAATATCATTTGATTTTAATATATTTTAAGATTATGTAGCTAATAACCTCAATTCTCTTCATTTTGAAAAAGTTGGCGACACCGCTAGTTGTTTAGAAAAACAAAATCAACGGTGTGCGAGCCTACAACCGCTCTTATTTATGGTGACCAAATTGTTTTGGTTCAACGTCGTTGAAGCCAACATTAGCCTTAGTTTCTCCACATCTGTGGGTCTTAAGCAACTTTTATTTATAGCATTTTTTGTTGCATTCGTTTGTCGCTAGCATCTTTCGAAATTATAATTGATTTTCTTTATAATGATTGGTTCAAAATATTAAAAAACTATACATAGATTGCAAGTGAAATTTCAAATTTATCACCAAAAATAAAACATCGATTTCTTTAAGAAATTTCGAAAAGTTTAAAAGTGTCGGCCATTTGAATGTGGAAGATGAAAAGGAGTTAAAAAGGAGAAGAGTCGATTAAAAAGGAGAGTGACAACTTTCCAACCCCAAATTGTTTGCTTGCTTTCTTCCAACTCTATTTGTCCGTTTCCTATATCTCCCTTGGAATCTGTGTGTGTCTAATGTCTCTTGCTGCTTCCTTTACTCTCATCAAATCTATAATCTCTTCGATCTACTTCAAATTAATCACATATTATTATCTTAAAGAAATTGAGGATATGTGATTTTCTTAAAATATATGTGTTGATTAAACAATAACTGTAATGGGACTACGCATTTGATAATCAAAGTTTAAGAGTTTATTTACGTTGCAAAAAAACTAAAACTAACTAAAACTTTTTTATGGTTTATTAGATGTCACGATATTTCTATCCAATAACACATTACTCCACATATTATTAATTGTCACGATAGATATATGAGTGTTATTTTACACGATGACACATTATTTTAATTCATGATATATGTTATTAGATAAAACATCAATATTTCTGTGCGAAAATGAATGGCATTTTCATCAAACCGGACAACAAATTATTTTCATCAAACCAAACTCTAATTTGCTGTCTTTTTTAATAAAAAAAACAAACAAACTATAATTTGCTGATAGTGATGTAAGATTTTTTTCGAAAAGAAAAAAAAAACACAACACACATACATACACGGTGAAATGAATACTGTAACTGTAGAATAAGAGAAGGGTTATGAAATTGATGGTCTGCTGCATCGTCAGATTTTAAATATCGTACGTCTTTTGTAAGGTCTCGTGATTACAAAATTCACTCCTTTAGATTTTGTCCCATCATTTCTCTTTTGGTCTTTTAACCCGTTCGACCAAATCATGACATATGCAGAATTTATTTCATGGATTTAAACAAAAATAATAATTTGTTTCATGGAAAATGTCCTTTTCATTTGTGCAATTCCATTTATTTCTTCCCACTTCTGAATATGACGACTACGACCACATGGTGCCAGTACCCACGACTAAACTATATAATATACAATTTCTTTTATTTTTCTCCATATAGAAAAAATGTTGGGCCATAATGATATTATTTTTTATATAATATGATTGATATTACCCATTTTTTAACATCTCATTTACTCAAAAAAGTAAACAAAAAAAACTCGGTGGTGTTTGGTTGTAGATTTCAAAGTGCGCTAATGATAGATTCCAGTTTTTGAAAACATGCATGGGTTCTTCTGATCAAAATTCAAAATACAAAAAATATTTATATGAGAAATTAAAAAGAAAAGATTAAAAAAAAAAAAAAAAAACAGGTAGACCAATTTCAATTGTACTGTTGCTGATCAAGCCATGGCCAAAAACCAGAATGGTCATCCATTGCACAGAACATGTTACTGATACTGTTCTCTTCTTTAACCATACTCTGTCCTGAAGATGAGTTTTGAAAGAACTGCATTGTCGTTGTTGTCGTTGCGGTGGCTGGCGACGGTGGGAAGAAGTGTCGACCAACTGTCTGCGGTGGCGGTGGGTGGCCACCGGTTAATGTACTGTCGTTTGATGGCGGCGCAGTTGAGATATCGAGTCTGAGATTATCTGAACTGTTATCACTTCTGTTACTGCAAGATCCTTCAGTTTCTTTGTTTAGATTAATTGATTCTGTTTGTTCTCTGTTTTTTAATCCCATTATCTGCGTAATTAAATAAATTTTAACAATTAGATTGGAATTAAAAAAATAAAAAATAAACAGAGTTACTGTATTATGTGATAAGCATAAAGAAGCCATTGTTTTCAGATCTCTTTTCAGACAAGAGTGAAGAAAAAATAGATAATGATGTCTGAAAAGTCATGAATCATGTCCAGTTTATTAACCCTACCTGAAAGCAACTCCTGATCCAAATAATTATTAACCAGAAATATAATCTTTAACCTTTCCAATTTTATTTACCAATTTTATTCTATCTTTAAACCTTTTCAGAAAGAAAAAAATCATAAAACACATAATGAATTTTAATGAAAGTTTTTTTTGGGTTAAATTATGAGATTAATTACCTCAGCTTGAAGTTTCTGATTATGAGTTTGAAGAAGATCATTTTCAGCTTTAAGTGCATCAAACTGTCGTTTAAGAGTATCATAATCTTTCTCAAGCTGTTTTGTTTTCCAACGAGCTCTTCGATTTTGGAACCAAATCGCGATCTGTCTTGGTTGCAAACCTAAGGCACGAGCTAGCTGCATTTTCCTCTCTGGTTCAAGTTTATTTCCAAGCTCAAAGTTCTTCTCTAATGTCTTCACTTGTTCCATGTTCAATCTCCTCTTCTTCTCTCCCATTTGAGACCCATCATCTGAATAATCCTCTTCTCCATTCATATTGTTCCCTGTTTCTAAATCGCAACACCCTTCCATTGGAGATCTCTTACCTAGAAACGAAGCAAATCCTGAAACAGAACAGAACAGAACATAAGAAAGAGATAGATAGAGAGAGAGAAAACAGAGGAGATGAGTGTAGAAGTGTGTGTACCATGGAGATCTTGAGGTAGAGAACAAGAAGGAAGAAGAGGAGCAAGAGATGGAGACTGATGAGGATGATCATCTTCATAAGAGTTTTGGATCATGAAATTTGAAGGGAAAAAAGACATTCCATTATTACAAGACATCTTCTTCTGTTTTGCAACAGAAGATAGTACTGTTTGCTTGAGATTTTGGTCGTTTCTCTTTAGTTTTTTCTTCTTAACAATCTTTGTCTTAAAGCCATTACCACGCTCTTATAAATCTGAAGCTCTTTGTGTGAGAGTCTTTGAAATCAAATGGAAAAAAAAGAAGAGGAAAAACAACAGAGAGAGAGATAGTGAAATGTATCGGCCTAGACTATACCACTTCTGGTATTTATTTTCTTCTTTATTTCGTTTTATATAGAAAGTCTGAGAGAGAGAGAGGACCCCTAAGCTGAGAGGAGAAAGAGACGCACTCAATTGATTCTCTCGTTAAAAAAAAAAAACGATCAAATAGCTTAAACTTCATTTAAATTAAATCAAAGTATAGTTTAACTCCAATTTTTATTTTCATTTTCAACTATAGTTTATAGATAGATATTTTTAGAAAACCAATGTTGGTTTCCAAGTATTAATGGTGGGATCCAATTTAATTTACCATGGTGTGCATACTACTCCTTAGGATAATAGACTATTTCGTGGTGCTGAGATTCATCTACTAATAAATTTTTTGCATCATACCACAAAAAAAAAAAAAGACACATTTTAAAATTTGAATATGAATTGAGGTGTAATGTCTACTTTTGGTTGGAAAAAAAAAATCATCAAGAGATGGAACAAACCATGTAATCTAGTGTTTATGCTAGTGTTTTGTTGTGTTACCACTCAATATCAAATTCGCATAATACTAATTACTAAATATTGTTGACATTGAAAAAGGAAGCAAATTACAAGAGGGTTTAAGCTTGCGTACAAAGTGGAAAATGAAGAGATGATAATCAAAAAGGTAAGAAGAGAAAGGACTCTTCTTTTTCCCCTTGGGAGAGACATGCAAAGAGGTGTTCTCTCACACTCATCATACTTGTCCTTTAAATCTTTATCTAATCTCTTTTTCTTTTATTAGATTTGTCCTTTTTTTTTGTAAACCAAATGAGATGGGTCCAATTCTCATCTTAAATCATAACTATCAAAGTTGTGTCTCTCTCTTTTCGTAATCTAAATTTATTTCTAAAGAACTTAATTTATAATTTTTTTGTTGATAAATCAATTGCATAGGATGAGAAGTTATCTAATAAGTAGCTAACTAAAGCCGTCTCATACTTATATTGATGTAAATCAGTTTCCATATAATGTAATGATATTAAGCTAGGGAAGGTGGATATAGTGAATGGGTCCAATGTGGCAATGTTAATCCTATTAGTCACGCTAGTACGTATAGACTACAGACCCATCAAATAATCGTATTGTGTCTACATGGATAGACCTAGAACTTTGGATCTAGGGAGTACATAAAACAAGAAAATACTTAGTATTTTTGTTTTTGTTTTGGAAGAAGTGATATTATTGATTTTCAGATGTTCTATGATGCTAGTTTTGATTATTTTGTTGTTAAAAAGGACATATCTAACAAACAAACGAAAAAAATAAGGAAATAGATGCACTTGTAAACCCAAGTAGACTATGGTTTAATTTATTTACAATCAGAAATAATTACTTTAAATTTTCTTTAGTTTCATGCTTCGAATAAAGACGATGCAGGTGAAGCGGAAAGATGCGGGGCAGTCGATATAATTTCAAAAATCCATAAAAATTATATTATTATGTCTGTCCTACATCCAACCTACCTTGTCTCGTACCGTCTGCGTCTCCATTCAAAGCTTTAGTCTAATTGTTAAATTCAGAGTACGATCTAATGATACATTAGAGAGTTACACATATACAAATTAATGATGCAATTATTTGAAACCCTTTTGTTGTTTTCCATGTATTTCAAGTTAATAAAACAGACGTGTTATATGTTACATGCTTATGTACACATGAATGCATATGTGCGTGTGTATATGCATGCATAGACAGACGTATAAAGATGGTGCGTGGGGTATTTAGGTTAAGGAAAAAACCAAACAAAAATACTGTTTGATTAACCCCACATAAGAGCTGTTCTATCTTGTCTCTCCCTCCTTTCCTCTTCCATTCCTTTCCATAATCAATCTTTCTTTTTTTTTTTTTTTTTTTTTCTTAATTTCTCTTCCCCAACATCCCTTGTGCGGTATTCGTCGATCAATTCATTGATGATGTTTGAGAAAACATCATCAACCACATAATAGTTAACATTTTTACGTTCATTTTCACTTTCGATTAGACTACTATTCATTACGTTTTAGACTACTTATCCGTCTCTAACTGACATTTCACGCATCACATCGTGTCGTTCTTTAATCAAGACTTTTGGCATCAAAGTACATAATTATCCATGCATACATATAGTTTCACAAATAGCCGTATAATTGAATAAGTATGATTTAGTTTTTATTTTGTATGGAATGTGAATGACCCAAAAGGTTATAAACAATCTGGTTTTCACTTTTCAGAAGACTGGTAAAAATTGTTAATTTTAACTACTTTTAGTACTCAAAGTATACATATATATTGATGAGAAAAGAAAAAAGATGGATGCACTTATTGTAGACACGTTTTAATCCATTTGACGATGGGCATTATTACATTTGGTGTAGTACAAATCCCACGGTCAATCAATCTAAAAGATCACTTGCGGTACGGTAACTGAGCGACGACGTTGTAAGATTTTATACATATTCCATAACGTTTACTGGTATGATCCATTTTTCACGAGATTTGACTAGAACCGATATATGCACTCTTATCATCAAGAAGTGAAAAAACATAGCGTATGATTAGATATGTGGAAACTGGAAAGGCTAGTCTTACAAGTTGCTAGAGATTTGGAAAACTTGTATAGTCGTGTTTTTTTCGGTATGATCACCCAACTTTGGAGTATTTTTTTCAGACACTATAAAAGCATATGTTTCGATTACTGTCTATCCAAATGGAAATGTCTTAATGGCCCAAAACTTCAACATGAAATTCAGGAAAGTCCAACAACGTAGTTTTCAAGAAGTCACAATATGTCCCTCCTCTCGTGTCACACCACTCCTAGTCCTAGCGAACTAGCTGCATAGTATAAAATACTTTATATATGACACACTTTGACATAAAGATATATACTTGTGCGTATGTGAATTTATAACACGGGTTACCAATCGGAACCTTATTGTTTTTTATTCAGCTATAAGCATTCTACATGTTTTAAATCAAGATGGTGATACAGAGACACTACTAATACAAAACACTTGCATAAATCCTCTATGACTATGTCATTCATATTCATTATATTAAAAGAGAATTTACGTCTATATTTGAAATAGATTACCTATGATGTTCTTAATTGATACATTTTTTCCTAGTTTTGGAATAAAGGGGGTGGTGTTCATGTTGCATAACACAAACATGTAAATAAAGCAAAGAAGACATAGTGGACCCTTGACAAGAAATAAGGCCCAAAAGTTGGCTAATTTCAGCCATCACGACAAAGGCACACTTCTCATTTCGACATCCATATTATTCTATTCTTCTCGATGAAAAAAAATAAAATATTATTCTATTCTTCTACAGTTCTCTTTCCTTCACTCATCGTTAATATGCCTTCAATTTACTCAACCTTTTTTTTAGTAAGAACACACAACTATACACACGTCCATATATAAACTTACGAATTTATGTTGTTGGACAAGCTATTTATTTGTTAATAAAACATTTAGTAGTTAGAGTAATTTTCTGCTCTAGTAGTGATGAGATAACAAGCATGTGACCAAATCCCAAATTAAGTATTTTCTTCTTTGAATTTTAGTTATTTGCAAATAATGTCACTACTCGATTTCCTGGAATAAAGGAGCTTATAAGAGTATCATGTTCTCCTTCATGATTATTTCACGTTTCCACGTTTTTTTTTTTTTTATTATGAAAATGTTTTCGTTTACACGTTCGGTTTGTTGTTTAGTCGTTCCTAGTTTATAGGACGTTATCCGAAATAAAAGAAAAAAGTTCATCGGAATGTGTACATAAAGATCGTCACACACTAAAGTTTAACCCCACGACGTTTGTGGAGTAACTAATTTACTAGTCTTGATGTTTTTTTTTTTTTTTGGTAAAAACGTCATGGATATGTTTTTACTAGTCTTGATGTTGGTAGAACGAAATAAAAGAATCATGGATATGATCACGAAAATTGTGGGAATGATTCCAAACGAATTTTATTCAAATCCAAAACATATAATTACAGATCATAGATAAATATGGAAATAAATAATGTCTAATAAAACTTAACTAACATTTGTGTAACATCATCTTTAATGCGATTCATTTAGAGATGTAATTTTTTTTTAAATACTATGTTTATTTCTGGAAATATATACAAAATTGATCTGATCACTAAAGATTGTGGGAATAATTCCAAACGAATTTAATTCAAAACCAAACCCATCATTACAAATCATAGAACAATATGGAAAGTAATAATTTATTCAAACTTAAGAATTTGTGTAGTCAATATGTATACAAAATTGATCTCATCACTAAGATTATGGTAATAAATTCCAAACGAAATTAAATTCACACCAAACACATTTACTCAATCATAGATCGATATAGAAAGAAATAACTTTTCTAATAAAAACTTAACATTTGTGTGTAATCAATATCATTCATACGATGTAAAAAGAGAAAGAAAGAGATGGGCCTCAATTTTTTTATTAGGCCCATAAGTTTTAAATTCATTAAAAATAAAAAAATATCCCCAAAAATTTCGAAACCCATCACTTTGGCGCTTATGTGACGCGCTTATTTCGCCCTCAATCTCAGATTATTTAGTCGTCACTCGTCACACCACTTTTTTTAGGGTTTCTCATTCGTCTCTTTATCTTCCTTCTTCTCTTTAGCTTCCTTTCTTTCTCCGAATCAATCATGGCGCCGAAACGAAAGAGAGCTACGAAGAAGGACGACGAGAGTACCAAATCCATTCCCAAACCGAGGAAGAGAGCTCCTAAGCGAGCTAAAACTGTGAAAGAAGAGCCGGTGAAATTCGTTGAGGAAGGGGAAAAGTATGTTGCGAGGTTTCTCGACGAACCTATTCCAGAATCTGAAGCCAAGAGTACTTGGCCTGACAGATACAAACCGATTACGGTAA